GTTGTTAAGGGCTGTGTGGGCTGTTAGGGTTGTTAAGGGCTGTGTGGGCTGTTAGGGTTGTTAAGGGCTGTGTGGGCTGTTAGGGTTGTTAAGGGCTGTGTGGGCTGTTAGGGTTGTTAAGGGCTGTGTGGGCTGTTAGGGTTGTTAAGGGCTGTGTGGGCTGTTAGGGTTGTTAAGGGCTGTGTGGGCTGTTAGGGTTGTTAAGGGCTGTGTGGGCTGTCAGGGTTGTCACACCAACGTCGTCAACGGTGACGTTGGTGTATGACTACGTCGTCGTCAACGCTGACGTTGGTGTATAACTACGTCGTCGTCAACGCTGACGTTAGTGTATGACTACGTCGTCGTCAACGCTGACGTTAGTGTATGACTACGTCGTCGTCAACGCTGACGTTAGTATATGACTACGTCGTCGTCAACGCTGACGTTAGTATATGACTACGTCGTCGTCAACGCTGACGTTGGTGTATAACTACGTCGTCGTCAACGCTGACGTTAGTATATGACTACGTCGTCGTCAACGCTGACGTTGGTGTATAACTACGTCGTCGTCAACGCTGACGTTGGTGTATAACTACGTCGTCGTCAACGCTGACGTTGGCGTATAACTACGTCGTCGTCAACGCTGACGTTGGCGTATGACTACGTCGTCGTCAACGCTGACGTTAGTGTATGACTACGTCGTCGTCAACGCTGACGTTAGTATATGACTACGTCGTCGTCAACGCTGACGTTAGTGTATGACTACGTCGTCGTCAACGCTGACGTTAGTGTATGACTACGTCGTCGTCAACGCTGACGTTAGTGTATGACTACGTCGTCGTCAACGCTGACGTTAGTATATGACTACGTCGTCGTCAACGCTGACGTTAGTGTATGACTACGTCGTCGTCAACGCTGACGTTGGTGTATAACTACGTCGTCGTCAACGCTGACGTTGGCGTATAACTACGTCGTCGTCAACGCTGACGTTAGTGTATGACTACGTCGTCGTCAACGCTGACGTTAGTGTATGACTACGTCGTCGTCAACGCTGACGTTAGTGTATGACTACGTCGTCGTCAACGCTGACGTTGGTGTATAACTACGTCGTCGTCAACGCTGACGTTGGCGTATGACTACGTCGTCGTCAACGCTGACGTTAGTGTATGACTACGTCGTCGTCAACGCTGACGTTGGCGTATAAGTACGTCGTCGTCAACGCTGACGTTGGTGTATGACTACGTCGTCGTCAACGCTGACGTTGGCGTATAACTACGTCGTCGCCAACGCTGACGTTAGTGTATGACTACGTCGTCGTCAACGCTGACGTTGGTGTCTGACTACGTCGTTATCAACGCTGACGTTAGTGTTTACGAGCCACAGTAGCACCAACGGGCGAGGACGCGTCTTGAACGCGTCTCGTCCGTGTCAACAGATGGCCAGGCGCGGCGTCGTAGGACCGAGGCGGTGATTGGTCGAAGGTCATTACAATTATTTATGGTGATTGTACGTTATGCATCGAGTTATTTATTGATAATCCGCGATACAAGAGTCCGTCATGAATACGTCATCAGCTCTCTCTTTTACAAATGTTTTATAGAGAGTTTTGAGAGTGTAATTCTTCTGCGGCTATTGGTAATGGGTTTTGTGTAGAGTGTTCGCGGGGAATTTTGTGTATTTGCATTGTCTGCGGTGTAATGGCTCGGGGGAGTTCTTCCGCTTGTTATGTGCACTCATAACTCCCCCCCACTCTGTGCACTCCCCCCCCACTACGGTCGTGGGGGGGAGGACATTGTTACACCTCGTAACTATGATCGATCCCAGGTGAGGGCTCTTGGATTGTTTACATTTATTGCTGCGAGGGATGAGGGCAGCTTGTGGTGGGGTGGGTGTTGTTATTACAGGTGAGGAGGGCCGCCGCCAGGTGGCAGGCAGTGATGTAATATTCATTGTTCCTTACTTGGTGATGGCCCGGGCCGGGCCGGGCCGGGCCGGGCCGGGCCGGGCCGGGCCGGGCCGGGCCGGGCCGGGCCGGGCCGGGCCAGGCCAGGCCAGGCCAGGCCAGGCCAGGCCAGGCCAGGCCAGGCCAGGCCAGGTCAGGCCAGGCCAGGCCGGGCCAGGCCGCAAGTGCACTACGGCCCTTCCACTTCTTATGTTTTGTCAATTGGGAAGGTTTGGGTATCTACGGTCGTGGCTAAGAGGACTCGGGTTCGATCCCACACTAACCTAGTGGATTGTATGTATATATATTACACGCGAGCGCATGCACGAGCGCGCGCACACACTCGTCCGAAAACCGGATTCTGAAATGTTGACGCGCACAAACGTTTTGGCGTTAACCGTGTGGGTGCGAGACAGTGCCCCGCCTCAGTAAGGCTCCGGGGGTTACGGCACAGTCTTCCCTTCACCGCTGGAGGTGCCCTCTGACCCGGGCCGGTCCTCCAGGCTTCTCACCTGGTGCCAGTTTTGTGGCACCTCTGTTGGTGAAGTTTGACCTCGGCGTAGTGAGAGATGGCAAGGAGGGGGGGGAGCGGCACTTCCCCTCTGTCCTCCCCTCCCTTGTCACGGGGGGGGGGGGCGCTCTTCCCCTATTCCTCGCACACCCTTTTCTTGCCACTTGTTAGTCTCGTCTATCCACAAATAAGGAAGTGGGGGGGGGGGCCTCCATTGCACGTTGATATCTCTTCCTTTATTGTTTCACTTCTATTAGATATCTTTTCATTCTTGCTCTCTTTACGCCTCTCCTTTCCCTTGGCTCTCCCTCATCCTGGCTCTCCCTCACCCTGGGTCTCCCTCACCCCGGCCTTACAGTTGTGGTGTGTGTGTCAGGTCTGGTGCTTACAAACAGTTACAGGTGTGGCGTTGATTCATCCACACACTAAACCAGGTGGTGTTCGCTATTCTCTTACTATCTCAGTGTTTTACTGTGGTGTGTGTTCTCACCTTGGGGTTCTCTCCTAGCTCCCTCTCACCTTGGGGTTCTCTCCTAGCTCCTCTCACCTTTGGGTTCTCTCCTAGCTCCCTCTCACCTTGGGGTTCTCTCCTAGCTCCCTCTCACCTTGGGGTTCTCTCCTAGCTCCTCTCACCTTGGGGTTCTCTCCTAGCTCCTCTCACCTTGGGGTTCTCTCCTAGCTCCTCTCACCTTGGGGTTCTCTCCTAGCTCCTCTCACCTTGGGGTTCTCTCCTAGCTCCCTCTCACCTTGGGGTTCTCTCCTAGCTCCTCTCACCTTGGGGTTCTCTCCTAGCTCCTCTCACCTTGGGGTTCTCTCCTAGCTCCTCTCACCTTGGGGTTCTCTCCTAGCTCCCTCTCACCTTGGGGTTCTCTCCTAGCTCCTCTCACCTTGGGGTTCTCTCCTAGCTCCTCTCACCTTGGGGTTCTCTCCTAGCTCCTCTCACCTTGGGGTTCTCTCCTAGCTCCCTCTCACCTTGGGGTTCTCTCCTAGCTCCTCTCACCTTGGGGTTCTCTCCTAGCTCCTCTCACCTTGGGGTTCTCTCCTAGCTCCTCTCACCTTGGGGTTCTCTCCTAGCTCCTCTCACCTTGGGGTTCTCTCCTAGCTCCTCTCACCTTGGGGTTCTCAACCAGCGTTTGTGATGAAGGGTCTCCAGCTACTATTTAGCCATATGAGCGCCCCCTCTCTTTCTATGGGCCTTGGTTTGCGTGTGTGTGTACTCGCCTAGTTGTGCTTGCGGGGGTTGAGCTCTGGCTCTTTGGTCCCGCCTCTCAACCGTCACTCAACTGATGTATAGATAACTGAGCCTACTGGGCTCTATCATATCTACACTTGAAACTGTGTATGGAGTCAGCCTCCACCACATCACTGCCTAATGCATTCCATCCGTTAACTACTCTGACACTGAAAAAGTTCTTTCTTACGTCCCTGTGGCTCATTTGGGTATTCAGTTTCCACCTGTGTCCCCTTGTTCGCGTACTACCCGTGTTAAACAGTTTATCCTTGTCTACCCTGTCAACTCCCCTGAACATTTTGTAGGTAGTAATCATGTCTCCCCTTACTCTTCTGTCTTCCAGTGTCGTGAGGTGAATTTCCCGCAGCCTTTCCTCAGAACTCATGCCTCTTAGGTCTGGGACTAGTCTAGTGGCATACCTCTGAATTTTTTCGAGCTTCGTCTTGTGCTTGACATGGTACGGGCTCCATGCTGGGGCCGCATACTCCAGGATTGGTCTTACATATGTGGTATTCAAGATTCTGAATGATTCCTTACACAGGTTCCTGAAGGCTGTTCTGATGTTAGCCAGTCTCGCGTATGCTGCAGACGTAATTCTTTTTATGTGGGCTTTAGGAGACAGGTTTGGTGTGATAGTAACTCCTAGATCTTTCTCGCTGTCCGTTTCATGAAGTACTTCATCTTCTATTCTGTATCCTGTGCCTGGCCTCCTGTTTCCACTGCCTAGTTTCGTTACTTTGCATTTACTCGGGTTGAAATTTAGCAGCCATTTGTTGGACCATTCATTCAGTCTGTCTAGGTCATCTTATAGCCTCCTACTATCATCCTCTGTTTCAATCCTCCTTATAATTTTTGCAACATCAGCGAACAGTGAGAGAAACGAGTCTATACCCTCTGGGAGATCATTTACACATATCAGAAACAGTATAGGTCCAAGGACCGACCCCTGCGGGACTCCACTGGTGACGCCTCGCCAATCTTGAGACCTCACCCCTCACAGTGACTCGCTGTCTTCTGTTGCTTAGGTACTCCCTTATCCAATGGAGTGTGTGTACGCATGCGTGTGTGTGTGTGTGTGTGTGTGTGTGTGTGTGTGTGTGTGTGTGTGTGTGTGTGTGTGTGTGTGTGTGTGTGTGTGTGTGGTTTATACATCCGTGTTGCTGTGGGTTTATTGATACATGGGAGTGTATTTATTAACCTATACATTTGTGTATGTCTATGGGTCTATACATGTATGTGTGTGTTGACTGTTTTAGTTAAGCATTCTCTTTACTGTGTAGACTTTGTACAAAAAAAATCCCAAGTAACTATAACAATTCTATTTTTTTCCTTCGCAGGACGACGACGACTCCGTGTCCATCCACTCGGTAAGGCAGGTCTGGTCTCCTCACACACACGCACACACACACACGCACACACACACACACACACACACACACACACACACACACACACACACACACACACACACACACACACACACACACACACACACACACACACGTAGTGTTGGTTCATGTTACTGCCCACACCTGACAGGTATACACGTGTGGTCAGTAACACGTGTATACCTGACTTTGGAATATACGCACACGTGACTTTGTATATTCTTATATAGCCACGTGTCTATGCTAGGTAATTAGCCAGCCCGTTCATTCCATTTGGCACTCCGTCAAAAATCCAACCTCCTAACTTAGCCCGAAACGGACCAACCCAAGCAACCCACCTGGGCTATCCAGTCCGTTGCATAGACAACGTAGATATATACGTAAACCTCTTGCTTTTCATGGTAGGTTAAATTTGTAACTTTGTTTACCTTAACGTACAAAACACGACCTATTAGTGGAAAGGACGGTGAGGTAGTATCAGGTGGTGGGTGAACAACAGCAGACGGTAAATAAAACAGGGTATAGTTACAGGTAAACAGAGCAGACAGCAGCTTTATTGACAGTAGAAATACAGGGTGTAATATCCAGTAAGTCAGCAAGATAGAGCCAAGTGTATAATCAATACATATAGAGTTGGTTAATAGAGAAGGTATTGATCCTCAACTCCGGCTTCCAGTCCCGCATTACTCTGGTAAATTGATGTATATTGATGCAATTCTTGATAAAGAAATACCTGGCCCTTGGTAATAATTAGTGGGTGGTAGTCCACTTACACCCACGAGTTGGTAAACAATGTGTGTAACACACCTTACACGGAATGTAACACACACTCTTACTGATAAGCTGAGAAAATGTGATGTGTGTGTGTGTGTGCGCACGCGTGCTTGGATGTGCACGTGTGCTTGTGCGTGCACTTGTGCGTGCACGCGTGTGCTTGTGCGTGCACGCGTGTGCTTGTGCGTGCACGCGTGTGATTGTGCGTGCACGCGTGTGATTGTGCGTGCACGCGTGTGCTTGTGTGTGCACGCGTGTGCTTGTGCGTGCACGCGTGTGCTTGTGCGTGCGCTTGTACGTGCACGCGTGTGCTTGTGCGTGCACGCGTGTGCTTGTGCGTGCGCTTGTACGTGCACGCGTGTGCTTGTGCGTGCACGCGTGTGCTTGTGCGTGCAGGCGTTTGCATGTGTGGAGGTGTGTGGGGCCGGGTGGTAGTGTTGAGGAGCGGGAGACTGACCCCAGGCGCGTGTGTCCTCCCCCTACAGTACGGCGCGGACGGCCAGGAGTGGGTGGTGGCCGCCGCCAAGAGCGACTTCAACGAGATTCTTCGTCTCCTGAAGATCCACCCGACGCTCGCCAGATACAAGGTAAGGACACGTATTGACCCCGCCCGGTACCGGGACACCCGGTGTATTGACCCCGCCCGGTACCGGGACACCCGGTGTATTGACCCCGCCCGGTACCGGGACACCCGGTGTATTGACCCCGCCCGGTACCGGGACACCCGGTGTATTGACCCCGCCCGGTACCGGGACACCCGGTGTATTGACCCCGCCCGGTACCGGGACACCCGGTGTATTGACCCCGCCCGGTACCGGGACACCCGGTGTATTGATCCCGCCCGGTACCGGGACACCCGGTGTATTGACCCCGCCCGGTACCGGGACACCCGGTGTATTGACCCCGCCCGGTACCGGGACACCCGGTGTATTGATCCCGCCCGGTACCGGGACACCCGGTGTATTGATCCCGCCGGTACCGGGACACCCGGTGTATTGATCCCGCCGGTACCGGGACACCCGGTGTATTGACCCCGCCCGGTACCGGGACACCCGGTGTATTGATCCCGCCCGGTACCGGGACACCCGGTGTATTGATCCCGCCGGTACCGGGACACCCGGTGTATTGATCCCGCCGGTACCGGGACACCCGGTGTATTGACTGACAGGTAATCTTAATAATAAAAATACTAATATTACCAGTATTGTTGTTGTGGTGTCCCCCGGGGAGGGGGGGGGAGGGCACGCTCATACTGGTGCACGCACATACTGGTGCACGCACATACTGGTGCACGCACATAGTCGTGCACGCACATACTGGTGCACGCACATAGTCGTGCACGCACATACTGGTGCACGCACATAGTCGTGCACGCACATACTGGTGCACGCACATACTGGTGCACGCACGCTCATACTGGTGCACGCACGCTCATACTGGTGCACGCACATACTGGTGCACGCACATACTGGTGCACGCACATACTGGTGCACGCACATACTGGTGCACGCTCATACTCGTGCACGCTCATGTGCATTCACACACGTGGAGGGCCAGAGGAGCCCCCCCCCAGATCACCCCCCCCCCCGGTTCTCCAACACAAAATTGACTTTTGTTAAATGAAATATAATTTATGTGTGATACGAATGTTACCCAAGAGTGCTCATCAGTGCTTGTTATCCGCTGTAAGCTGAGAATGTTTACAGTTGGCCTTACGGCTCCTGGAGAGCAGCACCTGGCGACTACACGAAGGTGGAGCCCGGCCCCCTAAGGTCTCCCAACGTCCAGAAAACGGTCATCTTAAAGTGTCCTCTCCTAACCAACCAGAGGACCCAAAACAGAAAACGGGACAATATGTCACTTTCGCGAGGCGCTTCCATTTTTTTCTAGTACGACAATTTTTGGCCGTATGTAACGCATACGAGCGAAAAGCGACGTTCTTTGTAGGAGGGGCGTACGTCCCCTCCACCTGCCGCTCCCTGACGCAACACCTCACCAGAAGCGTATGAGCCCTCGCAACCCACCTAACCCTCCGAGGCCGATGCATAGCAGATGTGGATATTACGCATCTTTCATTCTTACTAGCACGTTGCAATTTTAACGGATTGGTGGATTCCATAAGAGATGCGACGTTCTAAGTGAGAAGACGGGATGACCTCCCAGAATCTGTGAGCTTGTCTTTTTATATGTTAATGTTGTTTTAAGAAGGTTGTATGTATTAAGACATGTTTAGTTTGTGTATACCTACTTACTGTAGAGTTAAGGATGGCTGGGGTAGTACACATGCGGGCTGGTCTGGGGTTGGTGGGGGGGGGGAGGTCTATCAGCTGTGTTAGGCGTATTCAGGCCACCTCATTAGCTTCCCGATCACCCAGCAAGTATAACCATTGACTGTCGGGGCTACGGGTATTGAACTTTACGATTGACTGCTCTAAAGTCTTTACCCGTTTGTCCAGCTTTTTGTTCTACAATGTATATGACTTGTGACCCAGGGAGTGAGTACTGCTGGTGCCCGAGGTCGTCCTTAAGACGGACAGGGGTCGCACACGCCCGCCATCCCCCTCCTTCCTTCTAGCCTCCCTCAAATATAAAATATTCTCTTCTCTGAGGGTAAGGGTCGCTCATATTTTCTGCCAGAGGTAGCAACACTAAGATGCGCACACGCCCTCTAAGGGTCGTAGTCCTAAGGGCTCGGGTTCGATTCCCTGGCGAAGCAGGAATAAATGGGCAGTTTCTTTCCCCTGATGCCTCTGTTAACTTGGCAGTAAATAGGTATCTGGTAGTAAGCTGCTACGAGCTGCATTCCGGGGATGTGTGTGTGTGGGGGGGGGGGCGTCCTGTGTGGTGGTGGTGGACCCAATATCCGGCTCTAACATTTGGGCAGTATTCACAGTTGTGATTAGTTTAGCTCGTCACGAGGTGGATGCCTCCTGTACCCACATACGGGTTCAGGAGGTGGGTGACAAAGGTATATTGTCAGCCACCAGTGGTATATTAAGTCACCAACTTATTTAAGTTGGTGAGTTGTTTGAGTAGTGATCTAATTGTGGTATTGTGTGAGTAGTGTTGTTGTGCACGTTGAAATAACACTTGTGCTCTTAACGTTTTGAATGTTAAATGAAGAGTTTTGTGCACTGTGCGTTTGAGCGTATGTAAAAGGTTATGTGGGGAGGTTATGCGTGCGGTGTTGCCATGTTGGCCAGTGTTCTTGGCCCACACCTGTGGGCACACACGTCCCCCCCCCCCCCCCACCAACCACCAACACTCGGGAATTTCAATGCCGACAGGAGACCCATCCTCTGGGTGGCAGGAATATATATAGGGTGTGTTTCTCTCTTCCCTCTCCCCCTCTCCTCCACCCCCCCCCCTCTGTCTCTGTCTCTCTCTCTCTCTCTCTCTCTCTCTCTCTCTCTCTCTCTCTCTCTCTCTCTCTCTCTCTCTCTCTCTCTCTCTCTCTCTCTCTCTCTCTCTCTCTCTCTCTCTCTCTCTCTCTCTCTTTTATTTCCCTCCTCTTTCTCCGTCCCACTATCCCTGTCCTGGCCTCCCACACCTATCCTTCTCACTCCCTCCCACACCTGTCCTTCTCTTTCCTTTCCCCAACTATTCTTCTCCCTCCCCCACCTATCCCTCTCCTTCCCTCCCCCACCTATCCCTCTCCTTCCCTCCCCCACCTATCCCTCTCCTTCCCTCCCCCACCTATCCCTCTCCTTCCGTCCCCCACCTATCCCTCTCCTTCCCTCCCCCACCTATCCCTCTCCTTCCCTCCCCCACCTATCCCTCTCCTTCCCTCCCCCCACCTATCCCTCTCCTTCCCTCCCCCACCTATCCCTCTCCTTCCCTCCCCCACCTATCCCTCTCCTTCCCTCCCCCACCTATCCCTCTCCTTCCCTCCCCCACCTATCCCTCTCCCTCCCTCTTCACCTTTCTTCTCCTGGTGCACGTTTATCGCCTCCCTGCGCGCCTCGTGACTCCACAAGACAGATCGCGTCTCTAGGCGTGCGGGGCAGGAACAACAAATATCAATTTAGGCGTACACAGGCGGCGTCGCCCGGGCTGTGTAGGGCTCCTCCGGCCCTCATCGCTCCCAACACCATCATTTAACGCCATGCAAATCAAAATTCTGTATTATGTGAAGAGCTGGTGGCGGTGACGGATCATTGGAGCGGAGCTGCTTCGTTCAGCTGCGGTGGTGGTGGTGGTGGTGCTCGGGGTGGTGGTGGTGCTCGGGGTGGTGGTGGTGCTCGGGGTGGTGGTGGTGCTCGGGTGGTGGTTGAAAAATGGTGGTGATGGGGAAGGGTGGTTCTTGAGGTGGGGTGTTCTTGGGAGTGGTGGTAGCTGTGGCGGTGTTGGTCGTGTTAGTGGAGTTAGTAGTGGTTGTGGTGGTTGTGTTGATAATGGATTGTGGTTGTGTTCCTGGTGGTTGTGATTGTATTGGTGGGGGTTGTGGTAGGGGCTGTGATCGTTGTGTGTTGGTCAATGTATTCACCTAGTTGTATTCACCTAGTTGTATTCACCTAGTTGTGTTTGCGGGGGTTTAGCTTTGCTCTTTCGGCCCGCCTCTCAACTGTCAATCAACTGTTTACTAACTACTTATTTTCCCCACACCACACACGCCCCAGGAAGCAGCCCGTGACAGCTGACTAACTCCCAGGTACCTATTTACTGCTAGGTAACAGGGGGCATTCAGGGTGAAAGAAACTTTGCCCATTTGTTTCTGCCTGGTGCGGGAATCGAACCCGCGCCACAGAATTACGAGTCCTGCGCGCTATCCACCAGGCTACCAGGCCCCTGAATGTGGTGGTGGCGTAGTGTAGGGATGGTGAGTAATTTATGCTGGAACTGTCAGTGATGTGGCATGGGGTTGATGGAGAGCCGTCCTGCAAGTTCTCCCACAACCACCACCACCGTCACCACCACCACCACCACCACCGTCACCACCACCACCACCACCACCGTCACCACCACCACCACCACCACCGTCACCACCACCGTCACCACCACCACCGTCACCGTCACCACCACCACCACCACCGTCACCACCACCACCACCACCACCGTCACCACCACCACCACCACCGTCACCACCACCACCACCACCGTCACCACCACCACCACCGTCACCACCACCACCACCGTCACCACCACCACCACCACCACCGTCACCACCATCACCACCACCGTCACCACCATCACCACCACCGTCACCACCATCACCGTCACCACCATCACCACCACCGTCACCACCATCACCACCACCGTCACCACCATCACCACCACCACCATCACCACCACCACCATCACCACCACCGTCACCACCGTCACCACCACCGTCACCACCACCGTCACCACCACCACCGTCACCACCACCACCGTCACCACCACCACCACCACCACCACCGTCACGACGACGACCACCACCACCACTGTCACGACCACCACCACCACTGTCACGACGACGACCACCACCACCACCGTCACCACCACCACCACCACCATCACCACCACCGTCACCACCATCTGCTTGGGGAACCCACCAGCCACGCCCACTATACCCTCCCTACTCCATCATGTTAAGACTCCTCCACAC